CTGTGAAAACCTCAATAATTTTCTTAACGTCTCTTAAGTTCTCTGAAAATCTGGGAACTTCTTGAAATTTTCCGCTAATTTAGTGAAACTAATGGAACTGAACTCCCCTGAAATTCCCCTTGATTTAGTGGCTTTACTAAACTAATTTGAAATGCTCCCGAAATGTCCATATAAGGTCCTGAAGTTCTCGGATCTTCCCTTAAGTTCCATAGACTTTTATGAAGTTCTCCAAATGTTTCTGAAGATCTATGTACTTTGTGAAGTTTTCGAAGTTGTTCTGAAATTTCAGGAACTTCTTTAAGCTCCCACAACGAAATAATTAATATAGTTCTATGATTTTCACTGAAGTTCACTAGAGTTTCCTGATGTTTTCAAAACTGCCCAAAATATTTCTCAATTTCCTTAAAATTATCTAGACTGCCCTGAATATCTTAGTATGTTTTAAAAGAACCCACAATTTTACTGGAATTGATTTAATTGCCTTTAAGTTATGCAGTTTTCCTTAAGTTTTATAAAGTTTATGAACGCACACGGAACTTTGCCTTAAATAACTAATTTTCCCTGGAAAGTTCAACCCTGAAGTTTTCTTTGCTTACCTTAATTTCTCTAAATTGATCAGGTGAATTTCCTGATACATATTTATAATTCCCAGAATTTTCTAAACTTTTCAGATCAATCATAAAATTCTCGGAATATCCCCTAATTCCAAAGAACTCCTTTGCAAATTTGCTTAAGTTAATGGGATTTTTGTAAAGTTATCTGATCGTCCTCGAAGTACTCGGAACTTCACTGAATATAACGAAAAAATCTAAAAATATTTAAATTTCTTAGAAGTTCTCTGGAATTTCTTGAAAAAATCGGTGCTTGCTAAAAGTTCTCGCATTTTTTTTTTAATTAATGGAACTTCGTGGATGCTCTCTAGTCAATTTTAGAGCTTGCTATTTCCATGATATAACACCCTTGAAATACTCTCACATTATTACTCTTTAAATAGTTCGTTTTCAACATAAACTTTCAGAACCCATTGAGGTCACCTCTGTACCGTTAGTTCTGACAAGGGGGTCGCTAAATATTAGTTTATTGTTGAATATGCAAAACTGCTTCTGGCGGCTCAATTTGGCCTACGGGTTTTCTTGGGCCTATTAGCCATTGAAATGCCTAGGCCTATTTTGCGCGGCGTGTGAGGTGAGGTGACAGTGAAGTGATGGTGAAGTGACAATTGTCACCTAGTGTGAGGTGACTCTCCATTTGATTTGCATGGAGACAGTGGCGTCGCCTTAACCACAATCTACCTGTGCACCAACTCTCAAAACATAAGCAATTATCAAAATATTGCTTGCAATGGCTAGATATCAAGTTAACTAAAAGGTAAAGTGTATTTTTCAACCGATTCGAGTATGAACATGGCATTAAATCTGTTTTTGAAAGTTGGTGCACAGGTAAAAAGTGAGGTTACGCGATGCCACTGCATGGAGAGTCACATCACCCGAGGTGACAATAATTGTCACTTCACTGTCACCTCACCTCACACGCCGCGCAGAATAGGCCTGGCCATTTGGGTTCTCTTTGGCCTATCGAACGGAAAGAAAAGTGAATTTGCGTGCGCCTTTTGTAAACTTCAAGTGTGCCTTTTGTTTTCGAGATAATTTTTGCGTTCTTCAACACTTAAGGTTACGCAGATTTGATCCGGATCGGACGGGTTGCGGAAAAGTGACAGCTAAATCTGTTGTCTAACTGTCAAATTTAAGTCAACGCAACGCAAACGGATGGGAGACCCTTTAGTCTTGTAGTTGACTAGAACCATCGTTCTAAATGTTTGTTTGACATGTTTTGTGCTCGGTAGGCCGGGAATAGGCGATTAAGCCAAAGTAGATTTTTCCCCTATATTACTCTTCGGGAAAGTTACGTCATATTTTTTGACCATTTTTTTTATGTTAGTGAAATTAGAGCGTGGTGAAATGAAAATACAATTTTTTTTTTAACTATTTCAGATAGACCAATGCAATGTTTGGAAAGTTGTAGAACAATTAATTTGAAGCAACTTTACTGAAGACATCAAATTTCTATCTCATATGGTTCATGAGTTATGTTTTTTTTAAAGAATCACGTAGTTCTCGCGTGAAGAAAGGGATGGACGAAAGCTACCTATATTGACGTAGGACTACGTCTTTCAGGAAGATGGGGGTACAATTTATGAAAAGCGAAAAATGAAATTATGAAAGATTTTGAACGTTAATAACTTAGCTGCCCCTGGACCAATTTCAATTATTTTATCACCAATCGACCAGAAACATTTCTACGCATCGATAACAATGCTATTCACGGTTGATTTTCAAATTGAAACTATTGAAAAAGTGGTAAATGTCAAGCATTGTCCAAAAGCTTCTAAATAACTAACAAATCCACCAATTACGTACATGCATGTGCTGCTTCCCCAACACAGTCATCAGAGAATGGTTCCTAGATGAAACAAGTCAAAGTGACATTTGCCTCCGATCTTCGGGCGTGTACGAATAGGGAGGATACAATTGCGGAACATTTTGTTGCCAATTCAGAACCACACGCCAAAATGCTGTTTTTTTCCTTGGATTTGTTTTACATGCACCAATGCTACTCACACCCATGCTTGGCATACACAGTTTTGGTCACGGACTGCTCATTTGCTAATAACTTTGCACACAGTTAACGGAGCATCGTTCTTTTTAAAGCAGTAGATAGAATAGAGTGTTAGCTTATTATAGATATGTAAAATAAAGTAGATTTTAATGCTAGTAGTAAACTGTATTTGTTTTTACGTTGTAAAAATGAGGTAAGCAATATTCACTACACATCTCGGAATTTAAGTGTTAAATTTATTAGTGATGATTTAAATGTTAAGCTTTACCAAATCTTCGCATATCTATAGCCTAATCTGTCAATTACTTAAAAGAAAAACTAAGTTTCAACATCTGAGTGAAAAGTTATTACCAAATGAGCAGTTGGTGTGTACAACTGTGCATGCCCACACCTGGACCCTACCTATCGACCCATCAACTCATGAACCGGGAACCCCGAAGGAAGGCGTGATCAGAGAAGTTATGCCACAAAACTTCCCGGCAGCGTTGACTGGGATTGAACCCAGGCCTGAAAAGGGCCGTTTTGTTACATTGGTGATAAGTTTTAACCTCCGAAACCGTACATAATGCGTCCCTGTCGCTTCAGAGCGTAGACGACATCCATGGCCGTGACGGTTTTGCGCTTGGCGTGTACACAACCAGGTCTGCCGGTACCATATTTTCTCGCTTCCCATTGGCTATATTATATAGCCAATGGGAGGCGAGAAAATATGGTACCGGCAGAGCTGATTGTCTATATAAGAGGTTGCTATCTACGCTTTAGGCTTAGTTTCGATTCTCCCAATCAACGACAAACAAGCATCAAGTAAGCAAAGGGAAGCAAAGGCTTATAAAAGGAGGCGCCAAGCGTCATCGGAAGGTTCTGCGTGAAAACATCCAGGGTGTTCCCAAGCCTGCTATCCGTCGTTTGGCTCGACGTGGTTGTGTCAAGCGTCTCCGGTCTGATCTTCGAGGAAACCCGAGATGTGCTGAAGGTGTTCCTAGAAAATATGCGTGATGCCGTCACTGACTCCTAGTGGCCGTCACTGAACACGCTAAGCGCAAAACTGTCACGGCCATGGATGTCGTCTACGCTCTGAAGCGACAGGGACGCACTCTGTACGGTTTCGGAGGTTACAACTTATCACCAACGTAAGATTTGAGAATGATTTTCCGAACACTCAGAGTAACCCATGATTCACCCATTCAATTTGTCACTAAGTACATCAAAATGATATAAAAATCAAATAATTTGTGAGGAAAATAAATTATGTTCTATCTTATCGGTGGGTTAATTTTTTTTCCGTTTCACTTTCATTAACTGAGAAACCCTCATCGTATGCATTCTCCTGCTGCGCGACATCTTCGAAAACGTCCGAACCGTAGAACATTTCGTAGTCCTACGTCAACAATGCGGTTGCGTCTTGTACACCACCCTCCAACTTTTTTCACGTAACTCTGACGTGAATTATTTTTCGAGTGTAACATAGAATATTTGGAACATTCTGCGACCAAAGTTTGAGATTTCACAGTTTTAATTTAAATATATACACAGTAGGAATATTAATAGTTTCGAAAATGTAGGGACTTTTTTGAGATGTATGTTTTAAAGAAATATACAAAATCATGGGACTTAAAAATATAAGCATGAAAGTGGTCTCATTTTTAACCAGAGATGATGGATTTTAATTCTGAATACGCAAATCGATAGGAAATTTTTCTACGAATCTGCTTAAATGAACACTTCGACAGTGAGCATGCATAAGGGCGTAAACACGATGATCGATTCTCTTCGTCGATTTTCTCTTTGCATTGCTACTGCTAAGCGAAACTATTTTCTAGAATTTGTTCAATGCAGAGTTGTAACAGGTTGTATTGGCTATCAAAAGCAACAGCAAACGCATCGAGAAACGTTAATTCTAGCGAGTTATTAACTAAAGAGAGAATCGATTATCGTGTTTACGCCCTTATGCATGCTCACTGTCGAAGTGTTCATTTAAGCAGATTCGTAGAACAATTTTTAATAGGTCACTATTGACAATTAATTAATTAATTTAGCTTTATTTAGGAGGCTCTCTATTGACAATTGCACAAATGGCCAACTGTTGCAATGTGGATCAAAATTATCACACAGCGCTTTCCTTGCCCTAAAACAGATTACAAAATCGAATCCGATCCTGTCTCCCTGAACGGTGCTTATTCAATCACCACAAACTAAAACATAGAATTCAGCAACTCGATTGAACTAAGTGTTTGAAATTTTCCTGATAATTCAAGGTTTTTCCCGGTAATCACCACCATCACATTTCTTGAGCAACTCTGAACATTTCGTCTGTACCTCGTTGAGGAAATGCCACAAAAATTCATCCGCCGATGATTATCTATAAAGAGACCTTAAATACTCACAATTTGCAATTTGATTGTTTTGCCATCCAGATCAATGGTTCTAATTTTCTGTAAAACAAAGACACCGAATTAGTCTCGCTGTTGCGCATGAAAATGACACTTTGAGCTTTGCAACCATACTTACAAAATCTACACCGATTGTGCTGATATAGCTTTCCGTGTATGTATCGTCCTGTAATGGCAAAACAAAGAAGACATATAATTGACTATCGATTTACTCCGCTAATCTAGATCAACACTCACGGCAAATCTCAACAGAAGGCAAGACTTTCCAACTCCCGAGTCGCCTATCAGCAGCAGTTTGAACAGGTAGTCGCTGAAAAAAAAAGAACAAGAAAAATGCGTTCTCATAAAAGTTGATCGAGGCTTGCTTATCTCTATACAGCACGGTTAGTCCCAGTGATTAGTAGTCGAACGCAATTGTTAGGAAATTCATTTACTAAGGAACCCGAAAGTTTGCTGCCTAGAGACGAACCCCAAAAAAAAAGCGACGACAAGTGAGCGAGCGAGCGCCTGAATCACCAAAACAAACGAACAATGAAAATGGAAAGGAAAATTGCACCCCCTGCGTCGTGGCCTGCCAGCATCTTCTCGCATTTCCCCTGTCTGTCTTGCTTTCTTTACTTTGTACAGTTTCAAGTTTCTTCAACCCTCCCCAGCATATGCCGCGTCGTTGTTGTTTGGTCTGTTTTCCTATTTTTTGTTGTTGTTGTTGTTGTTTTCCACTTCGTAGCTAAGTTCCTTTGTAAATAGCGCAATCTCGCTGTCGTCTCTGCGTTGAATTGCAATGGTGACCGCCCGCCCGCCCGTGTTGGATGCAATGATATTGAATTGGCGACTTGTGCGTTGTTTGCTTTCAGCGATCGTTAAATAGAGAGCTGATGCACTCTCGCTCGCTCGCTGTCGCTGCTAGCTGGCCTGACGCACAATGATGACGATGACGACGACGACGACAATGGAGCTGAGTTTAGATATCAGCATAAAGAGGTTAGGTGGATATGCAAAAATAGATTATGCCGGACTGGAGGTGTGCTGTGAGGCTTGTTAGTGGGTGGATTAAATGCGATAATCGAAAGGTCTCAGGATACTTTATTACTTTACGCTATTTATAAAGCCTTTAGTTGACTGGCCGTTTCTGAAACTGTAGCGATTTTGTCACAACGGTTAGAACTAAGAAACATATCGATTCTACAGTGTACACAACAGTCTACAGTGGGTTGAGCAAGCAGAACGAATTCTGGTAGACAGCGAACAGAACAAAGGAAAGCCAATAAAGTCGAGAAATGGATCGATAGGATAACTCGAAAAAGTATTTTGCGTAAAGTTATAAAGTTCTAGTAGTCAAACTATAGCAAAAAGGGAGGCTGTTCAACGAAGATCTAAATTCTAGAATCTGTGGCTTGAAGGCAAATTTAGTTAATATCTAGAACTAGTCCAGTAGACACTACAGGACATCAGGCTCCAGGTCCAGGTCCAGGAAGGCTCAAGAGGAAATGCACAATCTTCTCTATGCCCCATGGACTCATTTCGATAATTCATTGAACGTGTTCTTGAAGATGTTCGTGTTATGGATACATAAAATCCACCTTACCCTTTATATTCAAACACTCTATACCCAAACAAACGTGACATGAAAGCTGCTAACAGATGCATATCATCACCGATAGTAGCAATTAACTGCTGTAACCTTATCACCCGCCTCCAAGCACGTAATCGTGTCGTAGCGTTCAATCAGTTGCGGACTGCGACTGCAAGAATCTCAGTGTATGGTTGGCTTATATTAGGTACCTAGTTAGTTGCAAAACGATTTCTTCGCAACAATTGCATGCCAATTAACCTTTTCAACCAGCAGTGCATCCATCCTTCTTTTGTCGTGATTTGTTTGAAATCGGAAACAATCGAAAGTCTATTTTAGCAGCATTTCGATCAACCAAGACTAGTATAAAGGGTGTCCCACATCAAATTGCATCACGGAAAAAAACGCTGTAGAAAATTACCTAGTTGACCGATCCTTTTTAACCCATTAGTACGCTTTTGGCATATTTATTTCATTCAAGTTCAATACCATAACCGTACACTCGCACCTCTTCGACAGTGCGCAACATCTGGCTGCAGCTTCTTCTGTACAGAAACCCACTGTTTCTTCATGTTTGACCTCCTTGGGATGCTTCCGTAGTGCCTGCTTCATAATAGCCCAGTATTTTTCGATGGGCCTTAGTTCCGGTGCGTTGGGGGGGGGGAGGGCATTATGTGCTTGGGTACGAAAGTGACCCCGTTGGCTTTGCACCACTAGCTAGATCCGGCCAGAAGGTCGTAGGGCCCTCGTGTTGCTTCAACAGAGGAAGCAGACGCTTCTGTAGACACTCCTTAAGGGAGATCTCCCCGTTTACAGTCACGAACGGCGCACTCCGTTTGCCACATGAGCAGATCGCTTGCCAAATCATGTATTTCTTGGCAAACTTTGAAAGTTTCTGCTTCCTTACTTCCTCCGGAACATCAAACTTGTGCTGGGCGGTGAAGAACAGTAGCCCCGGAAGCTGCCGGAAGTCCGCTTTGGCGTAAGTCTCATCATCCATGATGAGACAATGAGGCTTCGTCAGCATCTGGATGTACAGTTTCCGAGCCCGTGACTTTCCCACCGTATTTAGCCGTTCGCCACGATTTGGAACCTTCTGCACTTTGTACGTATGCAGTCCCTCTCGTTCCTTGGCTCACTGAACGAAAGACTTGGACGGATTCAACTTTTTGGCCACATCCCTGACCGAAGCATTGGGATTCCGCTTAAACGCTTTCACGACACGCTTGTGATCCTGATCACTAATAGAACATCCATTCTGACCGCAGTTCTCCTTCCGTTCGATGCTCAGAGTTTCGTAGTAACGTTTAATAACACGACTTACCGTTGACTGCACGATTCCGAGTTTGTTTTCCAATGTCCCGATGAGAGAGTAGAGGATTTTTCAGGTGCTTGTGAAAAATTCGCGACGTTGCTTTTCGGGTGATGCCATTTTTTCCAACTTTCGAAAAACTAACAGCGATAACAACACAGTGTAAACAATACACTCTAAACTACTTCTACTCAAATACTTTTCTACAGCGTTTTTTCCGTGATGCAATTTGATGTGGGACACCGGCGGTTATTAATGCGATAAAAAATCACTAATGCAACTAGGAATATGAGTAGGACATCCTAACGTTTGAGGAGGTTACAACCAATCTGACCGACCTTCATTTGTGAGTGCCAAAAACTTCTAGGACTTGATATAGGCCTCTAAAATCGGCCATCTTGAAAAAAGGCAGATGATGCTGATTTACACTTGCATACATCCATAATGCGTATGACTGGACTAATCAAGCTATTTCAATCAAACTCTAACCCTTTGGGGCACACTGGAAATGACCTCGGAATTTTTGAATGTTTTATACTCTTTCAGCAGGTATATAAAAAAAATAGTATGTAAGGATAAATCAATCAGTTTTAATTTGCTAAAATGGCTTGCCTACCGACTCCGGAGATTGTATTTAATCAAGAAGACTGGCAACTCTTCCATTTTCTCATACGAACGCTATGAGACAGGTACAATTGCGTCATCTGTCGCTCAAAGGTAAATGCTTCGAACAAATTAGATAGCAAATATTACATCCTCAGAAGAAGGGTTTGTGTATTTGCTAATTTTTCTATGCGTTGTTTCCACCTTCACTCAAGCGTAGCGTTATTGTATCTGTCGCTTGGATTCTGGCAAAGTTACCAGTCTTCTTGATTTGTTGTCTTCGATTTAATCCTAATTAGAATGGAATAGCATTTAATGAAATCTGATCAATTTGAGTTCCAGGTTGAGAGAACTTAACGTAATATTACGAGAATCAAACATCTATTCAGAGGAACTAGAGAACAAATATAAAACAAGCAATACACAACACAAACAAATGAACCAATCCATTTGTTTATGTTTATTTCATTCGTTGATGGGAAACCAAAAATGAAGTTCATATTCGTGCAAATTTTAAATAACAGCATAGGAAGTTTGGCCATTTGGCATCATATACGATTTAATTTGAATCAACCAATTCAAGTTGACAAGGTTAAATCGAATATATCAAATCATATTAACGATAAAATGTAATGTAAAGCACTCTTATATGGCGATTTGAATTGAACTGAATCTGTAGAATGGTCATAAGACGCCTGATTATCGGGGATTATATAATATTATTGAATTCGCTTTTACATGACTCAAACTGCTTTTTACGGTATGCCCCAAGTAACCACCTCTGTAGATTCACGAAACGGTTCACTGTTTGAACATACTAAGTGATTTGAATTCGAATCATTTCAAAAGATCATCTTGCTGGCAAATACTATGCAGTAGATCTTGCCATTTTGACGCAACAATCATTAGGTGTCCGGCCATTAAGCTGAACGCCATTAGGCGATTCAGATTGGTACTGTAAGAACTTTACACGGTAAGAAAAAAAGTACCCAAAAGTAAGTTCTTTTCGCTCATCTTGGCTCTATAGTGCAGGAACTCAAAAGTAGGTAAAGCGAGTCAAAGTAGTTTTCATTTACTTGTGTGCAATTCGGATGGAATTTTCCACTCGCTTTATACCCAAAGTAAGTTAGTTGTACCCAAAAGTAGGTAAATATGATTATACTCAACATTGTGTTCCCACACTTTACTACCCCTGTTGGGTTTACCCGTTTTTGACAAATTAGAAGGAGAAAAGGGAACAAACTAGTCAAAAGTAGGTAAAAGTGAACTAGTCGTTGGGTACTTTTTTCTTACCGTGTAGCACTCTAGATAGAGCAAGTGTGAAGTTTGAAAGAGCGGAAGCAATCTTTTGCCACGCTAATAGAGGTGTCCGTATCAAAGAACATGTTACTGATGTGACCTATACTTGAACCCAGACCCACTTCACACTTACTCTATCTAGATTACTGTACAGCTTTGATTTCCGTTCTTACTCCTAATAAATTGAATATATTAATTGCCGATCGATCAGTACCAACCCAAATCGCCTAGTATTAGATCACACGGCACAAACCGATAAACGTAATGATCATCATTAAAGGGTGATACGGTCAAAATTTGGTCAAGGGAAAACGCGTGTAAATCGGTGAAATCGTTTATTTAAAAAATCAAATTAAATTTCTTTTTCAAGTTCAATTAGTATAAAATTCAGGAAAAATATTCAGTTAGGCTTCCGCTTTTCCAAATCCGAATTGCCGGGCCTTACGCTTGACCCCTGCCATCAGATTTTGTACAGCCACCTTGTCCACCTTCTTCGCCGCAGAAAGCCAGTTTGCCTTGAACTGCT